CCCGTCGCTCTGAGGGGCACAAGCGGGTCAGCCTGCTCCTCTGCCGGTGCTCCGAGGCAGCTCTGAGCCGGCCAGCACCCCCTGGCGGGAGGAGGTGGTCCTGATCGGTGCCGCTCCTTTTTGCCACTGGGGGGCGCTGGCGGTCTGTGGCTGTCCAGCCGCCCAGGCCGCCTTATTGGCTCAGGGAGGCCATGTTCCTTGTCTTTGCCGCTTGCATGGGCATGGGGAGTGGGGAGGCTGAGAGGCAGGGGCTTCCAGAGAGGAGGGTGCAGGTCAGACAGGCGGACCCAGCCATGGCATTGCAGCAAAGCCAGGCCCCCTGCCTGCAAACCCCGCCCCAGAGAAAAGCAAACCCTTCCGGCCCCCTCCCGGGTGGCATTGAAGCTTCGGCCACCAGGCCTTGCGCGGAGCAGGACTGTGCCCGGTAGTTGCCGGGANGCCCCCCCCCCCCCCGTCTGGCTGGGGAGCCTCCTTGGCTGCCTGTTTCGCCCAGGCCTGCGGCTTGCAGGGCCACAGGAGCGTTGGTGGGTGTCGCGGGGTGTGGCGCTTCACCCCAGTTGCTTTCTGGGCACTGAAGGGATTCTGATCCCCCCCCTTCCTCTCTCCCGCTCTCCAGCCTCTGCACAACAGGGGTGGTCCGGCTGCACATCAACAACTGGCTGGAGGTGAGCTTCTGCCTGCCACACAAAATCCACTTTGTGGCCTCCCACTTCATCCCTCCCGAGGCCATTGAGAGGAGCCTGAAGGCCATTCGGTAAGAAACTGTGCCGGTGGGGGTGGACCTCCCTCTGGCTGTTTGCTGCGAGAGGGGCTTCCTGGACTACCCTCCCTTTCCTTCCAGGTGGGATGGTCCAAGGCCTTGCAAGGGAGGGGAAGCCAGTGGGGGCCGTTTTGTGGCTCTTGGGGGGGTGTCTTCCCCCCTCTGGCCTGGGTGTGTTTGCCCACAGAGGGAGGCTGCTTGTTTTCCAGGCAACGACCTTGGCCCTGGGTCTCGGGTATAAGAGGCTCCAGGGCGGGGCAGTGTCTCTGTCCGGTGAGAGCCGTGGACCTCCCTGAGCACCTCATGCTTCTTTCTTGCTCCCCTGAGAGGATCCTGCATTTCCAGCTCAGGTCATTTTGATCTTGGGACGCCTTCCCCCGCCCCGCCCTTGTATGGGAGATCTGCATGCATGTGTCCCCTTCTGCACGCGTGGCCCACCTCTCTTGTCCTGCAGGCCTTACCACGCCCTGCTGCTGTTGAAGGACGAGAAAACCCTCCTGAATGAGCTCCCTCTGGACTGTTCCCCTGCCCTGGTGCGGGTGATCAGGACCACCTCGGCCGTGAAGAACCTCCAGCAGCTGGCTCAGGATGCCGACCTCGCCCTGCTCCAGGTGGGGCAGAGGGAGAGCCCTCAAATGCCGCCCCCCCTCTCTGTCCCCTACTGGGTGTTGGGGTTGCTGAGCCATAGGTACGGTCTTCTTTCCCCGACAGGTCTTCCAGCTGGCAGCCCACCTGGTCTACTGGGGCAAAGCCATCATCGTCTACCCATTGTGTGAGAACAACGTCTACATGCTGTCTCCCAACGCCAGTGTTTGCCTGTGAGTCCTGGGGTCTGGCTCTGAGCATTTCCAAGGCCTGGCACCTCAGCCGGGGCTGGTGCTGGGAAGGATGCCCTGTCTTCCACCAGAAGCTACTCTGGGGGGCTGAGCTCTCTCCAGTTAGCCTTGCCTCGCAGGGTCCACCTTGCGGGGATGAATCTGGGAAAGACGAAACATCCACCAGACAGTGAAGTTTGGGCAGGAAGGGTCCACCTTGCGGGGATGAATCTGGGAAAAGGAAACATCCACCAGACAGTGAAGGTTGGGCAGGAAGCAGATGTGGGAGAGAGAGAGAGAGAGAGAGACACCCCTGAGGGCCCTGATGGCGTTTTCACCTCCAGGTACTCCCCGGTGGCTGACGAATTCTGCTGTCAGTTTCCGGGCCACGACCTGCCCTCCGTTCTGTCCAAGTTTTCCTTGCCAGTCTCTCTCTCAGAGTTCAAGGACCCTCTGGCTCCACTGATGCAGGAGGTAAGGGCACCTGCTCAGCTTCCCGGCTCTGCGGACACTCCCTTCACTCCAGGGAGGTTTCTGGGGGACCCCTTCGCCGGCTGGCTTCCTCTAAGGCCCTTCCTGAGTTGTCCCCCCTGGGTTCAGGTCTGTTTTCTTCCCTCCGTTCAGACGCAGCTCATCCAGATGGTGGTCTGGATGCTTCAGCACCGCCTCCTCATTCAGCTGCACACCTACGTCTGCCTGATGGTGCCCCCCAAGGAAGAGGACCTTCGAGGGAAAGCGGAAGAGCTGCCGTTGGCTGCCCGGGTGGGGGGCCGGAGCCTCAGCACCCCAAATGCGCTCAGCTTTGGCTCTCCAAGTACGCAGGGGCCCTTTTCTTTCCAGGAATGGGCCTGGGAGAGCTCGTCTTTGGGTTGCAAGTGAACATGGCTGTTTGTAGGCGATCCCTAGGCCAGGGGGTGATCGGCCATTGCCTCAGGAGGAGGAGGAGGAGAAGCCCCCGTTAGGCAACATCTTTATGCCAGAGCTCTGAGATGTTCGTTTGTTCATTGAGGGAAACAGCTCCGTGTCCTTCTGTGCATCCCGGGCGGGGCGGGGGGGAGGAGGTTGCCCCTTTTTCCTTATGAATGAAGGTCTCTTTGCAGGAGGAGCCTCCCAGGCAGGATTTAGGTGCATGCTTTGAGCGCCGGGCCACCAGCCCCCCCCTTGCGCTTGAGGCAAGAGGGATGCCACCAGACCTAGCAGGGGCACCCCGGGCTTTCGCTTCCAGGCAGAGGTTTCAGGGCAGGCGAGAAGGTGGGGGTAAGCCCACCCGGCAGCACCCGGTGCCCTTCTGCAGCTTTGCTTTTTCCTGTAGCCAGCAGTGATGACATGACCCTGACCAGCCCCAGCATGGACAACTCCAGTGCCGAGCTGCTGCCCGGCGCAGACTCCCCCGTGAACAAGCGCATGACAGAGAACTTGCTGACCAGCCTCTCGGAGCATGAGCGGGAGGCCATCCTCAGCGTCCCGGCTGCCCACAACCCCGAGGATCTGCGCATGTTTGCCAGGTGAGGACGGAGAAGCCAAGCAGTTGGGGGCCAAAGGGGCTCCCAGGCAGGGCAGCCAGGCAGGCACCTGGCTCTCCTGCCTGGCACCCCAAAGCTTTTGGCCCAGAAGGGTCTGCAAAAAAGAGCAGCCGGAGGTGGGGGGAAGGTGGAAGGGCTCAGCCTTGCTTGCTTCCCCCCCAAAAATGTGAGCAGGCAGCCCCAGTAGATCAAGCCCCCTTGCGTTCTGCAGGCGGCATCTCATGGGCTAACTTTGGGCTGCGTGGGATGGGTGGGGCCCTCCAGGACTGGAGTTGGAGCCACTCAAGCCTAACGGGGTGCTTCCCTTCCCCGCCCCCCATACCCTGCCAGGCTGCTGCACTACTTCCGGGGGCGACATCACCTGGAGGAGATCATGTACAACGAGAACATACGCCGGTCTCACCTGCTGATGCTCTTTGACAAGTTCCGCAGCGTGCTGGTGGTGGCCAACCACGAGGATCCCGTCATCTCTGTCTTCCAGTCCTTCCACGAGTGAGGGGGTCCAACCCCCAGACTTGCCTTTGATGAGTGATGGTGGACAGGAGCCTATAGCACCGGCGGACTGTTGTGGACCAGGGCAGGGGTCTTCTTCATCCTCCTCCTCCTCATCCTCCTCCCAGGACTAGGGGAGGAGGGGGTTGTGGGAGAGCCTTTCAGCTGGAGGCAGTGGGGGCCCTGGTCCACCAGAACACAGCTGGCAGGCTGGCAGCTGGTGCCCTCTGTGGCCAGGATTTATTCTGGGTCTCCTCTGAGTAGGAGGGCTGCTTGCTTACTGTGTGCTGGCTATTGGCCGTTCAAAGACAAGAACTATCAATACACTTTTGCAGAACAATAACAGGTACTTCTTGCTTATTAAGGCTCTCTTGCCCCACTCCGCTGTGCCCATTACCACATCATGGAAGGAAGGGTTTGTTGTGGGAGCAACAAATTTAGATTTGCACCTCCTTGGGTTTTTTAAAATAACAGTAATTGAACATTCCAGGAACCGATCCCCAAACACCAGCCTCGGACCCACCAGCAGAGCAAAACAGCTTTATTTACACAAAGGAGAAGCGTGCCATAAGAGAAATACCAGCCCCCCATAGCGTGCCATCCTTCAAGAACGGCACCAAGCAGGAGGCCTCAGGTGCCGGGTTCAGGAGGGCGGCTGGCACCCCTTCTCGGCCTTCCTGTCCACCACACTGACGCACCGGTTGCCCCGAAGGTAGAAACGCAAAGGCTTGTGGGCCCAGTCCCCACGGACCCCGATCCGCGTGGTAGAGACCAGGGCTTCCTCCCGGGGGGCGTCCTGGCCCGCCTCCAGCCACACCGCCGGGTGCGAGGCTAGGTCCTGCTGGTCGAAGTTCTTGTTGACGGCCAAGGCCTGGCAGAGCTTGGAGGGCCCGTTGCAGAGTTGCCAGTCCTTCAGGGTACCCGGTGCCCCTTTCCTCCCGGCGAGGCGCAGCTGCCTCATGGACTCCAGGCCCTGCAGCGGCTCCAAGGAACGCAGGAGAACGGCCGCCCCCTCCCCTGCAAAAAAAGATGGCGGCCAGAGGCTGTTGGAGTTGGAGGGTGACTGGTTAGGTTCCCCCCCCCCGCACACACCCCTGCCTGCCCTTGGGCCACTGGTGGGTCGCTCTGGACGACTGCCACCGCCACCTCCTCCTCCACACACCCCCAAGGTGGATCACAGATGCAGTGAGCCACTGCTGCCGCCGCCTCCTCCTCCTCCACACACCCCCAAGTGGGTCACGGCTGCACTGGGCAGAAGGCAGGCTGCCTGCAAAAGGGATGTTGCTCGCGGAGCCCCCCGAGCTGCAGGCAGGACGTTGGGCTCTGGCCTTCCAGACCCTTCCACTTGCAAGAAACCCAGGCCAGTCTGGCCAAAACCCTGGGGATTCCGAGGGTGGGCGTCCAAAACGCCTGGGGAGTCAAAAGGCGGAGAACCCCCGGCCCTGCGGAAACCCCTTCTTGTGTCCTCCCCCTTCGCCACTGAGATGGCCAGGCGGGTTGGTGGACTTCCATCTCTCTTGTGCCTTCACCCCTGAGGAAGAAGTGGGGCCGCGTGTAGGGCAGAGAAACCCGTGACTCCCCCTGTGGGAAGCAGAATCTTCCTAGGATGGTGACAGAAACCGAGCAGGGCTGGGGACGGGGCCACCCCACCTCCAGGAAGAGGGCACCGGACGGGTTCCTGATGGACACCCTTGGGCCAAGAGGGCCTTCGGCTGCCAACACCTACCTTGGCTGGAGATATTCATGCAGAAGTAAATCCCGTAGATCTGGTAGACGTACAGGGTGCCAGGCGCCATGAACATGGCGGCATTCCTGGTGGTCTGGCGGCCCCCCCGCGAGTGGGACGCGGAGTCCTCCCTGCCCAGGTAGGCCTCGGTTTCCACAATCCGGCCTCGGAGCACTTCGCCCCCGGGGAGCTTCCGAACCAAGACCTGCCGGGCCAAGCAAACCAACCAGGGTCTTAAGCTTTGCCAGTGGTGGAGCAGCGGGGGGGTTGGGGGTTGGGGAGGGGGCGGCTGGAGCCACCGGGTGGCCCAAATGTCACAGGTCTTGCTGCCCGCCTGCCCACCCGTTTGCCATCCGCAGGGGATTGGAGCGGCCCTTGGGCTCCCTGCCACCAGCATCTGAGCTGCCCCGGATTCCCTCTACACCACAGCCTTCAGCTCCACCAGAAGGGCACCCAGGGGCCCTGGGCCTAGACGGGCTAAGCCGGGGATGGGGCAAAGGGCAGGCTCCCTGGGACCGCATTTCAATCACACATACACACACACACACACACACACACGTGGGAAGGAGGCAGCAACCCCACAAGTGTGGAAAGGCCGGGCTGTGGGAGAAGCCAGAAGGGCAGGAAGAAGGTGGTATTCGGGGTGGGGGTAGGAGGGCACTGCCATGCCTGCCATGCACAAAACCCAGGGAGGGGACCTGAGGAGAGGGAGGTGGGGTCAAGCCTGGCCTGACCCTCCTGAGGACTAGCACCCTGCCTTCTAGCGAGAGGGCTAAATACCGCCGGAACGGA